TTCGATCGAGAAACTTAACTCGTTCATTTGCATTGAAGTCGGGGACTACTGTCAAGGTTATGGATACCACATACCCACCATATACCAAGTCTTATACGGAATCATATCTCGTATATAGAAGGAGTTCTGGATAAGGAAGAACAAGTAGAGTTCTGTATGGAAACGACAAGGACTACTCGGATTGTATCCATATTGGTCTCCCTAGTTTTACTTGGACAAGGGGGCATCTATGGGTATAAATACAAACCCCCCTAGGAGGAGAGGGGGGAAGCCACAAGATCAACATAGATCAATACAAGCCAAGACATGCCGCCGGATATCAACATCAGAGATTAGCATAGACATACCCCATCCGGTTCCTACGGAGGCCAGCAAGAGGGATCTAGCACTATCTCTGATCTCGCCAAGTGCGGATTCGAGGAGGAAGACTATCCTGTCGTCGACTACGAGTTGGTTATCTAGCCGCCAAGTCGACGATAGCTAAATATGTTATCCCAAATAGTGTACTTGTGTGATCCTGATGAATAAAGAGCAACACCGGCTTCGGCCAACATGACGTAGGGCTATTACCTGTCAAATAAGGGGCCCGAACCTGTATAAAAATCCTTGTCTCCATCTCTTTTACTTCAATCTCGCATATACCCTGATACCAGCGATCCCCATACTATGCAAATACCGTAGTCGCGATATCAAACATCGACAGGTTCTTGGAACCAGAATTCATAAGCTCACTATCTGACAGTTCGAATTCCAAGGAATGGAGAGAGAATGCCGCCGTGATTTTCTTAGGATTGTTTATGGCAGTTGTTTAGACTTAAATTCAAATTTGTTAAAGGACCATTGCTCTTCTGTCATTAACATTGAATGTTTCATGTCTTCTCAAATTTTTTTTTGAGAATGACCAAGATAATACGACGTCGTTGATTGAGAAGTCTGGGTGCGAGAACGAGTACTTATTTGATTTGAAGTCGGGGGCTAATGTCAGGGTTATGGATAAGGTATATCCTCTATCCTATGAGTTATGAGATATACGAATACGGTATATCCTCAAGTATACGAAAAGGATCCATGTTCGTTAAGGAAATCATTGAGATTTTACGGAAACACTCCTCACGGGTAGGACCATGTCAGATTACTACTTAGAGAGCATCAGGACTGTATCATGTCGTGCAGGGTCCGAGATCTCCGAGTTCTACTTATAGACCAAGGTGATTCACGGTATAAATACATACCCCTTGGGGGGGGGTGCAAGGCATTGAATCCTGAGTGCAAAACACCCGCCAACACAGAAGCAATTCAAAGGACTTGAAGCCTCTTCGCTGATAGATCTCGTCGAGCCCCTCTCGATAAGGATCTCGTTGATTCTCATACCAACGTACCCCAAAACCCTCATAATACGGTCTACGGGTATCGTCCGTTGACAAAATGTCATATCCATGTAAGTAAAGCCTTTTCAATATAGGAGTATGTCAAATTGGTTAGCAACGTGGTTTCATGAAATTTTAAGACCTTAATAGACGAGGCTATATGCCACGTGCTAAAATCTGTGTGATTTTATATAACTTGGAGCACAATAGATGAGATTTTTTGAAATTTACTCAAATTTCCAATTCTTGAGCATGGCAATTTTTTCCACCGAGAGCTGGTTGCAAAACCTGGTGGTGGGACTGTGCATTTGTTCTTGGCCACGTTTTCTTGGAACATCTTGGAGTTACTTCTAGAATTTGCAGCAGACAACATATTGGGTGTCAATAGATGGTAATGAGAAGTTCTAGTCCCTTTATGTTGGCATCATGGCTAGTGTATGAGAAATGGATTGTGAGTTTGTTCAGATAGGATAAAAGAAGTCCTAAGTTCATGAGTTGTATGATTGTGCCAATTTTCACGGAGGGTTGATTCATGCAAAGCTAAAAGCACCATGGCCTTCACCTTAGGAGAATGACGGTATGCACTACTTGACCAATGGGATTGCATATATACCCTAGTGGAAGAAAGGGCACAATTGTTCTAGAAGATGTATTGGGTCGCTAGTCTTATCAACTACTCTCCCGTCCTAAAAAAAACTCAACCTAGTACGTGATGTTGACACATCCTATTACTATGAATTTGGACAAATAACTCATGTTAGGGCATCACCAATGTATATGGCAAAGTGATCCATATAGATGGGACCCACATAAATAGTTTATCCCTATGGCAATGTCCACAATATAAAGATACAAGGTATCATTAGGAGAAGAGAGAGGAGTAGAGATAGATAATATAATTTATTCCATATGGGTAGTCCATATGCATATGGGTATCTTTTGCTATTTTTTCTATATGGACTAGTTGCACAATAGTAATAGGTGGCTGAATGGAATATTCTATTGCTTATGGACTATTTTTACACCACATTGTGGATGCCCTTAGATTTATAGTATTAGGACGTGTCAACATCAAGTACTATGTTGATTTTTTATGGGACGGATGGAGTATGCCACCATGTACCACTGTTGGTCAATTTTTGTGGAACTCTTGCATGCCTTATGTGGAGAAATCACCATAGCCACCACCTTCTCCATGGACAGAGCTTCACCAAGCAATATATGCACGTGGACTGGATATTTGGTAGAATTCAGTTGGGCAGGTAAGTGGTAATGCAGTCCATGGTGGGTCCAAGTTTAACTTCGAATACTTACATTCATCAGTTTTATGATAGGCAAACAGTGTTGGTGCCTGCTAATACAGAGAAAATTAAAATTTCTATGTGGTGCCACTGTTGCTATCCATGGGAGCAAAGCATTCAGTTTTAGGGCTGCATTAATAATATGCATAATTTGTAAGAGACCATTTGCAGATAATAGCATAGTCATGTGCCAGAAATGATTCAAATAAACTAGTGCTATGCAATGTGCCAAACCAATCAAAGTTGGATTCTCAAGGAGTGCTGGGCTAAAATGATTGATTAAATGTATGCAACTATGCTCCCAATGAATTCTATGCAAGTACCAATTTTGGCACATGTCAATCTGTTGTTAAGAAATCTAAATGGGAGGATTCTGGATGATTTCAATTTACAAATATTGGCCTTTCGTTTCATTTCATCATACATGTTCACATATGGTTTATACAAAGATGAGATAGATCCGTGTTTAGATTTTAACTTTTTTTTTTCTTCAAATTTTCAACTTTTCCGTCGCATCAAATGTTTGGACACATGTACGGAGCATCAAATATGGACAAAAAAAACAATTGCACAGTCCGACTGTAAATTGCGAGACGAATCTTTTGAGCCTAATTACACCATGATTTAACAATGTGATGCTACAGTAAACATTTGCTAATGACTGATTAATTAGGCTTAATAAATTCGTCTCGCAGTTTACAGGCGGAATTTGTAATTTGTTTGGTTATTAGTCTACATTTCATACTTCAAATATGTGTTCGTATACTTAAAAAAATTTGGCACACGAAAACACAGACAGAATATGGAATTATGGACGGCTGGATCGATGGTGGTGCAGGCTCTTTGGATGTGTGCAAATGATCCAGGAATTCTGTCTCCTCAAATTGTGGCAGAAGTGTGGTGTCATCCCACGAGACTTTTGCTTGGGGCAACAGGTGTCTTTTGAATCGTAGGAATGAAAAAAAAAAGGAAAAATAAGATTATACTATGAATGATAGTGTAAAACAGAGGAAAAACACATGAATAATCGTTTGTTTGGACCATAGAAAAAAAAACACAAGAATCGGATAAGAGAGATAGACTCAAAGGAAATTTTCCAAGAGCTTTAAGCTCTCGCTAAGTTTCCTCTAAAATTTCTATAGGATTGCTCATTCCATAGGAATTTTAAAAGATTGGATAGGATTTAATCATTTGATTCAAAGGCATTTATAGGAATTTTTTCAATAGGATTGAAGGAGTCCTCAAGGATCAAGCAGAAGCACTACATGGGCTTGAGGACAAGCCTTTTTCCAAGAAGAGAAGAATGTCATAGATGTGTAGTGGGCCAGCTTTAGACCCAACCGAGTAGCAAAGAGTATAAAAACAAGATACACTGCAGCTGAGGGGATCATCGATGAACAGGCATGCATACGGAAATGCTAATGGGTGGGTGATCGCTCCCCCATCCGTCCAGTGATCACCCCCCTGCCTCTCACCTATACTCAGATACACTCCTCCCTCCTCTCCCCCTTCCTCCTCCCCTTCTTCTCTTCTACTACAGTACACTACAATTTTTTTAAAAAAACACAAAAAGTTAGAAAAATTTATGTATAGAAATACTATTTATATAAAAAATTTGAATCGGTTATGTAAAATTTTGGCTTATAAACTTTGGATCTATAAACTTTAGGTGTATAAACTTTAGATGTATAGAAATAATATATATAGAAAATATTTGAATTCAAATTTAAATTTAAATCGGATATAATTCAAATTCAAATTTGAAACGGGTATATAAACTTTTGACTTATAAACTTTAGGTCTATAAACTTTAGGTGTATAAACTTTAGATGTATAGAAATATTATATATAAAAAATATTTGAATTCAAATTCAAATCAGATATAATTAAAATTTAAATTGAAACAGGTATGTAAACTTTTGACTTATAAACTTTGGGTTAGGTGTATAAACTTTAGATGTATAGAAATATTATATATAAAAAAAATATTTGAATTCAAATTAAATTTGAATCGGATATATAAACTTTTAACTTATAAACTTTGGGTCTCTAAATTTTAGATGTGTAAACTTTAGGTGCATAAATTTATTAAAATAGAAAAGTAATGCGGTGCCAAGAAAGGAAACTAGGTGGAGGGAGGGAGGGGGATTGATTGCTACCCCCATCTCCAGACGATCGATCGCCCATTAGGATCCCCCGCATGCATATGCCTTGTGTCCTTCCTTCCCCTACTTCTTGTCCCCTACTTTTCCCAATCTATTGCAGTATTGCTTATCCCATCCTATACTTCCATCTCTAAATTTATGTCACCGAACACTTTATCTTGTGATGGAATTGGAGTTTCCTGCCATGTTTATTGTTGATCTGTGATATTTGAGTTGGATCGTAACAGTCGATTTTGATTTGCATGTCCTTCAAAGAAAAAACACAAAACATTATAGCGCAAGCGAACGAGAAACCGTGTGTGAGAGAAAAGATAATGCATGAATACCTAACAAGCGCGCTGCGCGCGGTCTAAAGATAGCCATCCCCATTAAGACATGAGCGTTGCTTAGCAAGCTTGGACACATTGTCCACAGCGAGCGCTCAGCCGCTCGCCATGAACGCGACCACGTACGTACGGCGCCTTTGCTCCCCTAGTCCCCTTCCATCCCAACCTTTCTCTCTCTAGCTAGCTAGCTCGAGCTAGGCCCTCTCTCTCCCATGGCGTACGACGGGGGCTCGGGGCCGTCCAAGCCTCCGCCGCCGCCGCGGTACGTGATGCTCACGGAGGAGTACGGCTCCAGCTCGCTGGCCACGGTCCCGCCTGGCGCCAGCCGCAACATGCCCCGGCACCGCATCACGGACGGTGGCAGCCTGCGCGGCTGCCTCTGCTGGTGCTGCTGCTTCCTCCTCCTCCTCGTCGTGGCGGTGGCGGCGACGTCGGCGTACCTCCTGTACGCGTGCAGGCCCAAGGCCCCGTCCTACTCCGTGTCCGACATGTCCGTGGCGCGGTTCGACGTGAGCTCCTCCGACCTCACCGTGTACGCCAAGCTGGTGGCGTCCGTCCGCGCGGAGAACCCCAACGACATGGTCGGGATCGGCTACGGCGCCGGGTCGCGGGCGGCGGTGTCGTACCGCGGCACGACGCTGTGCTCGGGGCGGCTGCCGGCGTTCTACCAGGGCCACCGGAACACGACGGTGGTGAGGGTGGCCATGGAGGGGCGGCACGGCTTCGGGCCGGGGCTGCAGGGCGCGCTGGAGGAGAGCGAGGAGGCCGGCAACGTGCCGCTCGACGTGTACGTCAGCGCGCCGGTGACGCTCCGGCTGGGCGACGTCGACCTCCGGGAGGTGACGGTCAACGTGCACTGCGCGCTCGTCGTCGACGGCCTCTCGCCCAAGAAGAAGCCCGCTATCAAGTCCGCCGAATACAGGGTCAACGTAGAGTTTTAATTCATCAGGAATTCAGGATGTATTGAAATGACCATGATTACTTGTCTAATCGAATTTCTTAATGTAGCTATAGCTTGTAATTAATTAAGTCTGTAACTAATACTAAATGTTAATTAGCTAGTACTCCGTACGTTATAAAATATAATATAATAGATTTTGAGTAGATGTGATATATCATATACACTGAATCTGGATATAACTATTTGTTGACCTATTTTGAGTGGATTTGACATATCATGGTGCAATGAAACTAGACATAACCATTTGTTGATAAAATAGGTCAAATCCACCTAAAATACTTTATATTTTATATTTTTGGGATAGAGAGAAGTTGATTCGTCTCGTAGGCCATTTTTTCAGAACCATTTGTTGTACTAAAATTGTGCATCCTGTTTGTCGATCAATTTCATCACTGCTCGAAAGTCGAATCTTGCAATTCATATGCTTGGTGTTGAGGAACATAAAAAGGAATAAGAAATGAGAATAAATGAAAAATATAGTAACTGAAAACTCAATATAATAGAAAAACAGAGAGAAAATTGGTGTTTGGATAGACAGAGTGTAAGAAATTAGAAGAAATGCAAAATATAGGAATCGGGAACACAAATTTGTAGGTTCTAAGTACTCCGATGAGCAACCATGTTTATTTTTTCTCGAATTCCTGAATCCATTTTTTATATATTATTTAAATTTGGCCATGTCGACGCCAGCCACATTGCTCTAAAGTTTACGGTCCAATGACGTCCAATTTTGTAGTTTTAAGATATATTTTCAGACTTTTAAGAAAGTTTAGCATTGTAAAATGAATCATTAACAAATCCTCCAACTCGTACATTGCATCTCTAATATTCACTCCCTCCATTAACAAACGTAAGTAAGGACTCTCTGGTGAGATAGAAAGAAATTTGAAAAAATAGATGATTCATAGGACAGTACATTGGAATACTTACATTTGTGTACACTTTGAATGCTTATATTTATGGACCGATGAAGTAGAAGATTAAACGTCAAGATGCATAGAAGTATAGAACACTAATACGCATGAGTATACGATTAAACCCTGTAGAAAAGAGGACAAAAATAATGCATTCAAATTTACCTAGATACATCCAGAGAAGATCAATCCAGACAATATAGAAGTCGATATATTTGCGTAAATAAGGAGCTGATGTTCCAAGTTTTGAGAATTCTAGAGGAGCAAAATACAAGAGCCTTTTTTTTTAACTGGATTGTATTTGAGAGCAATAACCGTGATATAATTGAGAGAACCGAAGGAGAAAAAAACAGCGGAAAGCCTGCTTACAGCCCCTGAACAGTTGATAACTAACTACAAAAGCATTGCACCAAAAGTAAGTATCAGTAATTACATGGGTCATTAATTAGCAAGGGAACCCCCCTAGTGTATCACCCAAAAAAAGAGAATTAGCAAGGGAAATCACCATCTAATCAGCATGCAATGTACTAGTTCAATAACAACTTAGTACCAGTAGTTGCATAAACTGTGGATAGACTACCATTCTCAGCAGCACAAAAGCACCAGCAACAGTCATCAGAGAAATCAGCAGATTCAACAGGCTTTTCGATTAACAGATATCCTTTGCCCTGATGATATGAACTTTCATTGTGCATTTATGATTCTTCAACAGCTCGAACAGGCAGATATCACCCACTCCAACATCATTGTCTTCCGCAAACTTTCGGCATCCACCAACCATCCTTCTGTTACCACTCGAATCAGAAAGCCTGATGTTCCACTTGTCCCCAAGACGCGAAAGACGGATAGTTTTCTCGTCTTGAAGGTAATTATCAACATATCGGTTGGCGATACTCTAGTTGCATACATGAAAGAAAAATGAGATGATGGAATCATCGCAAATAAATTATAACTAAAACAATTAGGCACTGCATCATATATATTAAGCAACCGCAGCAAGCATATCACATGTAAATTCAGTGCTTACAGCTTAGTACTCCATCCGTTTCACAATGTAAGTCATTCTAGCATTTCCCAAATTCATATTGATGCTAATTAATCTAGACATATATATCTATCTAGATTCATTAGCATCAATATGAATGTGGGAAATGCTAGAATGACGGAGGAAGTAGGTTATAATTAACAACATGAAGAATACTTTTTCATCGGTAATCAAACACCAGTATAAATAGTGCATAATTAAGAAGTATGCACATTCGACAAAGAAATATGGCACTCACTAGAGAGGATATTCTTCCAGAGGCGTTGTTCTTTCCAATGACAGATACAAAGATTGGAATTTGAGAACCAATATTTTGGATCTTGCGCTTCACCACATTCACCTGAACTCGACTTAGTATGGTCTTTTGCCCGATGATGGGATCAGGTATAACACCTACTCTGCAATCCTGATCTTTAGAGGACAAAGAATATCCTGTGTGCAAAGAAAAGAAAACATCAGATGTGCTTTATCAGGAAATGCATATAATAATTGAGTTGTAACCAGATGACATGGAGGAGGAACTCATCGTGGTCATGTTGCCTTTACTTGAGTTACCTCTTTGCACCTGTGTCAATCTATCCGTTGGTTGTGACTGCATTTGCAAGGGCCTAGCATGAGCATGAGAAAGGGCAACGTTTTCAAGTGGCATTTCCATGGGACCAGTAGGAGCATGACAATGGTTCACAGTTTCGGTAGGGAATTGCATCGGCATGGGTTGAGGATGAGCATGAGAAAGGGGCATGCAATCAACAGCAGTATGCATGGGACAAGGACGAGCATGTGAATGGTTCACAGTTTCAGTAGTTGACTGCATTGGCATGGGCTGAGAATGAGCGCGCGAACTGTTCAATGTTTCAGTAGCATCTACACGCCTTTCTTGCACATTAGGATTCTGAGAATCATCCACAACAGCAGAACATGCTTTCTCGCGGCCAATTTGATCAACTATAATGACATCAAACTGAGAATTTCCATTGAATCTGAACATCATGGAGTCACCCATCTGCAGATCAAAGGTTTTGACGAATTGTGCCCATCCCTCTGTAAAGATAACCTTTTCTTGGGTCTTGTCAACTCTAACAGTGTGACTGTTTCTGTTACGTGTTTCCAGTTGGATTTCTCCAGGGATGTCACCCTTTAAACGCTGCACAAATTCTTTTGGAATGATCTGCAGAAACATATTTTTGAGGGTGTTAGTTTGAATATAGTTTTATGATATACTAGCTGCTCTACTATGTTTTCCTCTCCTCCTCACTATGAAGGCAATAGATAGCCCAAACCAGAATGCTACAATATAACGCATGCTTCACCTTGATGCTACCAGCGTGGAGCTGTGTAGTTCTGATGAGATCTGGGTGATGTATGAACATCAAAGTTGAAATGCATGGGATAACAAGTAATTATGATTTTTTGCGGCATGTTATTGATGAGTCACTAGCGCTAATTCCGCTGTGATTTTTTTCCCAAATGACAAGTAGTTAAATATATGTCAGTTCAGTGTTATGAACTCGTTTGTTGTTTGCAGGCTATTTCTTTCATTGCTACAGTTTGTTCACATAATTTTGGTGTTAGTTTAAATGTATATCAGTCGTTCAGTACATGCACATAATTCGATCTTTGCAATTGATATATTTATATTAATGTTTTCATGTTTATGTTCAATGTGGGGCCTCTCTTTTTAGTTCCACTCTGGGCCACAAAAATCTCAGGGTAGGCCCTGATTTCTGTATGTGACTACAGAACAAACTGACGAAATTGAAAAGCCTAATTTCTTGCTTTTTAAAATATTACATCTGGTGCTAACCAACAAACCTAATGTGGTATCATATTATTGGCTTAAATCCGGGCATCAATACTTGTTTCTTTTAAGAGGGTACAATCTAGTCACCGAATTATTGAAATTTGCAAGGAAGATCATGCTTGTACCAAACAGAACTTGTAAGAAGCAAAGAAACAAAAAAAAAATACAAACGGCAAGGGAAAAGAAAAGAAGCAGCATTGCATTTCATAAAAAAAAATATTTGGCTTACCATCTCATGTTGAAAATCACCCATCATAGTTAGCAAGAAGTGTTTTTGGGAATCATCCAAATTCCTGTAGTCCTGCTCATCGCGCCGTCTGCATCTTTCGCACGATGTGCCCATCGTTTTTCAACAAACCTGCAGTGTCAAAATATTACTTTTCAGTGGAAATTTTTGTTCATCTTTCACTTCAGAAAAATGGCATGAACAACAACGACAACCACCACAAGAAAAAGGCCCGTGAATCACCATATTTCCAGCTTGAAAACTAAATCTAATCGGCAAAAATTCCTCATCCGAGTTGATGCGATCCTACAAACTAGTTTACTTGATCAGGGAGGGGGAACAGAAATGGAGTAGTAACAAAACAAACCGACGGCTTCGTGGTCGCCGCCGCCGGCCGTCCCCCCTGCCTCGGCTGCTCTCGGCCGCCGCGCGGGAGGTCTCTCTCTCTCGGCCGCATCCGCCCACGGCCCAAAACCCCATCGCCGCGGCAAAAGAAGGCGTGAATCTTTTCTTCTTTCCCCCAAACCCTCCATGCGCTCTCCTCGTACAAACCCTTCCATACCCACACAGCTTTGGAAGAAGACACAACTTTTCACAGTTTTATCATGAAACCGACCAGATAAAGATGGTGAAAAATCGTTCTAGCCCGGTCCCCCCAATGAAAAGAAAATCTTCAAATAATGAACAACCCAGTTATAATACTACTAGTAGAAGAATAGCAAGCACTAGACAACCTAGACCAAAAGGTGAAAGACAACAAGAATATTGGATACTAGCTATAATATGATTGGATTGTTTCTTTCCTTCCTTCGGGGAGAAGAGAAAGCGATAGGGAGTGACGTTCTTGATTTCACTACTAGTACTAGATCCTCCATACCTTTCTTCTTCTATTTTCTTTTTTCCACGGAACAATCTTCTTCTATTCTGAGTTTCTGACCCGCAACCATGAACCCTCCTTTGCTTCCCCTGGTGGTCTTCTTGGGATGTGTCGCCTTATTTATGCCGTTGCTTGCCTGAGGGTAGATCCCAACCGAAATTTCTCATCGCATCGAACGTTTAAACATATTAAATATATGCTTAAAAAAATAACTAATTGTACATATTACGACTAATTTATGAGACGGATCTTTTAAACCTAATTACTTCATGATTTGACAAAGTGGTGCTAACGTGGTACTACAGTAAACATTTATTAATGATGGATTAATTATGCTTAATAAATTCATCTCACGGTTTAGTGACGGATTCTGCAATTAATTTGTTTTACTAGTGCCTGAATATTATATACTAAATCTATCTATCTATTATATACTAAAAGTTCATTAAACTTCCTACAAAACGCTCTCAAATCACCACGTGGGACTTCTACAAACGCTCCTAGACCACCACGTGGCTCTATTAAATCTAACCTTCGATTTTGACTTAAATTGGTGAACCCGATATTTTAAATCTATTATTTACTAAAAGTCCATTAAACTTTCTAAAAATGCTCTCAAACCATCACGTGGGACTTCTACAAACGCTCCTAGACCACCACGTGGCTCTATCAAATCTAATACTTCTACAAATGCTCCTAGACCACCACGTGGCTATATCAAATCTAACCTTCGATTTTCAGTTAAATTGGTGAACCCGATATTTTAAATTATTAGATTAAATTTTTATAGCGAGGCACATCGAGCCAGCGCCCGCCGCCCACAGGCCCCACCCCTCACGCGCGTGTACGGTGTATCTAATCAATTGGAATTCAGAAACCGAAGCGTCGCGCCATCGCAGGACTCTCTGTCTCTCCCCTCCTCGCCCTCGCGAGTCGCGACGCCAACGCGAGCAGCGATCTGATCAGATCGTGAGAGCGAGCGCCGCCGGGCCACGCGTGCGCGCCTTGGCCGGCTTGGTCGCCGCAGCAGCCCACTGCCGCACTGGCGCCGTAGCCTGCAGCAGTCCGCCGCCTTGGCCGGCTGCCGCCGCAGCCGCAGTGCCGCACTAGCGCACTGCTGCAGACCTGCCGCGTGTGCCGCCAACGCCCGCCCGCAGTGACCGCAGTCCTGCACCAGGCCAAAAAAAAAGGTTTTTTACTTTTTACTTTTTTTCAATTTTCAGTTTCGAAATTTTGAACTCTTTACTCATGTGCATTGTGATATTTATTAAATTATTATAGTAGAACTGATGCATTTATTAATGATGGTTGAGAAATAAGATGGGTGATGAGCTTTTGGATGATTGTATAGTCACATTCATTAAGCGGGATGTTTTCTTAAAAGTGGAGGAAGAAGATATAACGAACACTTTCATGGCCATTAGAAGGTGTTGAGATTATAGGCATATAATGATTTAATATATTCCATAAATAAATCATGGCATTGCAGATGTATACTAGCATTAACGTATCATTAGATCTACACATGTAAACTAAGCAGTAAAATATGAACAGATCAAATATGCGCAACATATTGAACACGTACCGAGGTGGTAGAAAGACCGGCTACTCGGCAGGAACTTTTCGCGATTGCAGGCGTCTACGAAGGCACGCAGCACGCGAGCGAAGAGGAAGACGAGCCGTCGCGGACAAATAGGGAGCAGTCGCGCTAAGCGCTTCCCAAAAACTTTATTGCCGCCTTCTCCCGGTGCAGGACGTCGAAGGCAGAGGTTCCGGAGACCTGCTCTCCCGATCGCCGGTGCACGCCGGCGAGCGGGATGGAGTAATCTACAAGCGACGGCGCAGCACAGAGTAGGAGGCAAACCCTATATTGATTTTTTCGTGTGTTGCGTGAAGACGGCGGGTCGGTTTATATAGAGAAGGGTCGCTTGATTAGGGCGCCCGCACGATCTCCACTGCGCGTAACCAAACCGGATAAGTCGCGCATAACTTATCCGGACTCCACGCCGTTTTCACGCACCAGATTTTTCGGAACGTTTCCAAAACAAAAACGAATCCGAATTTGCAGCAAAACAAAACTGCAAAAGGAGGCTGCATCTGCGCAAGGTGAGGAACCAATTTTTTGCGGACCATTCGATGCGTATGTCGTGCACGCGCGCCGCCTGCCCTGCGAGGCGAGGCGAGCGAGCACGCGCGTGTGTTCCCCCTCTTCTCTCCACCACACATGATTCAAGTGGCTAGGAGGGCATCCTCCCTTTTAAGGAGGTCCCCCTCTCCTAGAATAAGCAAGGTGGTACTAAACTCCACATGCATGCCATCCCATGAGGTGGGCTTTTGTGATTTTCCAAAGAATTAATCTTCGAGTGGGTTAAGGCCTATCCATTAATTCCAACAATCCCCCACCAAATCTCAAAATCCCACTGAGATTTGCCTTTTCCAATGTACTGTTTATATACCAGCGGTTCGATGGAGACCGATTAAGGTTGAACATCCATCTAGAACTCCAAGCTACACTTACTCACAACTTGAACAATGGACTACGCCTTGAATTACAAGTCTTGTGCAAGCAAGTTTCACTCAAAATCTTATCTGGTACTAGACCGTCTGTAGACTACCCCTCGAGTGGAGCGTATAAGTCATACTCCTAGGTCTTTAGTAAGCTTCCTAGAAGATTCACCCAAAATCTTCATAGACTGCGACCAACAGTCAAGCTCACAAAGGTGAGTTCTTTCAAGAATGCTCTGTAGGACAGCATCTTCGCTAATTAAAGCCAACAGAACTCATTAAGGTATAGTCAACCTGCCTTGCAGCTCACAAGAGTACATGCATCTTTACTTAGAGAGGGTATATATCGGTACTCTCCTCTAGTTTACTAATGGTTTGTTCTTCCCAGGATCTAATTCACGGGATCTCCGATCACATAGACTGGGTTACTACCATAGTATAACTCACATGGGTCTCAAACCCATTTCCTTCGATGCATTGTCTATCACATTTCGTGATAGTCCCTTCGTGAAAGGATCTGCCAGGTTTCTAGTTGTTTGGATGTAATCCAACGTTATAACTCCGGAGTTTCTCAACTTCCTGACAGACTTCAATCGTCTTTTCACATGTCTAGACGATTTCATATTATCCTTAGAACTATTCACTTTGACAATTACCGTTTGATTGTCACAGTTCATAAGGATAGCCGGCACCGGTTTTTCAACAATAGGCAGATCCATTAATAGATCACGCAGCCATTCTGCCTCAACAGTAGCAGTATCCAGTGCCGTTAACTCTGCTTCCATGGTTGACCTTGTCAAAATGGTCTGTTTGCAAGACCTCCACGAAACAGCACTACCACCTAGTGTGAAGACATACCCACTAGTGGCTTTGATCTCGTCCACATCAGAGATCCAGTTAGAATCACTATATCCTTCCAGTACCGCAGGGTACCCAGAATAGTGAAGCCCCAATTCCATAGTACCTTTCAGATAGCGCATTACTCGCTCAAGCGCACGCCAGTGATCATCTCCTGGATTAGAGGTAAACCGGCTCAACTTGCTCACAGCAAAGGAGATATCAGGCCTAGTTGCACTAGCCAGGTACATCAGCGAGCCAATGATTTGGGAGTATTCCAGTTGATTCCTAGCAATTCTCTTGTTCTTGCGAAGCAATAAGTTAGGATCATAAGGCGTTGGAGAAGGCTTACTATCAATGTAGCCAAAGTGATTCAAGATCTTCTCCACATAATGGGACTGCAAGAGTGTAATCCCATTCTTACCTCTAATTAGCTTGATGTTTAGGATAACATCAGCTACTCCCAAATCCTTCATATCAAATTTTTGAGACAAGAATGATTTAACCTCATTTATCACCTCAAGATTTGTCCTAAATATCAGTATGTCATCAACATACAAGCACAAAATAACTCCCTCACCCCCACCATGGCGATAGTATACACATTTATCTGTCTCATTGACTGCGAAGCATGCAGATGTCAATGTTCTATCAAATTTCTCATGCCATTGCTTAGGAGCTTGTTTCAGACTATACAAAGACTTCAACAATTTGCACACCTTGGCTTCTTGACCTTCAACTACAAACCCATCAGGTTGATCCATATAGATCTCCTCATCCAGCTCTCCATTAAGAAAAGCTGTCTTAACGTCCATTTGATGAACGAGAATACCATGTGAGGCTGCTAGGGAAAGTAGCACACAAATTGTGGTCAATCTGGCAACAGGTGAGTAAGTGTCAAAGAAATCTTCACCTTCTTTTTGAGTATAGCCCTTAGCAACAAGCCGAGCCTTGTACTTTTCAATGGTACTGTCAGGCCTCAGCTTCTTTTTGAACACCCACTTGCACCCCACAGGTTTACACCCATAGGGTCGCTCTGTCACCTCCCAAGTTCCGTTAGCGATAATGGAATCCATTTCACTACGGACAGCCTCCTTCCAGTAGTCTGCATCAGGAGATGCATATGCTTCTGAAATTGACTTAGGAGTGTCGTCCACGAGGTACACAGTGAAATCATCACCAAAAGACTTAGTCGTCCTTTGTCTTTTACTCCTTCGAGGAGCTTCACTATCATCCTCCTCAGTGACATGTTCATGTGTATATTCAATTTGTTCTGGTGGTGTGAATGAACTGGGAATTATTTCAGAAGGTTGACTAGAATTACTATGTGTATCCTTCATTGGGAAAAAGCTCTCAAAGAAGGTAACATCACGAGACTCCATAATTGTACCAACATGCATGTCAGGTACCTCGGATTTAACTATTAAAAATTTATAGGCAATGCTGTGGTGAGCATATCCCAGAAAGACACAGTCCACAGTCTTAGGTCCAAGTTTGCGCTTCTTCGTTATTGGTACATTGACTTTCGCCAAGCACCCCCATGTGCGCAAGTAAGAAAGTGATGTTTTCTCCCAATCCATATCTCATATGGTGTTTTGTCCTTATTTCTGTTAGGAATTCTG